AGGGAGGGAGGGAGGGAGGGCGCTGCTAGAGTAGCTGGGATGAGCTGCTACAAAACAGGGGAAGCTGGGGGGGTCACTGCCTGATTAACAGCTTCCCTCCTCCTCCTCCTTTTAAAGAACCCCCACGCACCCTTTTTAGCCAATCAACGCCACATCCTCCCTGCCTCCAAACGGCCCAGAGGAGCCACCGCAGCAGAAGCAGCCTTTGCAAACTATCTTTTTTAGAAAATGGCAATCAAACTTTAGAAGCTTCACCTTTCCAAAGAACCCAAGGAAGCTGCGAAGGAGGCAGGACGCGCACGAGAAAAGGGGATTTTTTGCAGTTTTGAATCAGTTGCATCCGCCAAGGTCTGCCGGGAGGGACGCCTGGTACCCGGTCGTTGGCCAAGCCACATTCTTATGCCTTATACCAATTTGTTAGTTCCCTGCCGTGTCCCTTCGTATTTTAACGTCTAGAACGATTTATCTCAATGGGTCCAAGTCATTTATTCAAAAGCGGAACTTCTAAACTTCAACCAAGCCCCCCTCCCAATGAGCAGGGGCTTGTGGAGTGGGCATGGGAAGGAACTTTCACCCAAAACGTTATCTAATCTGCAGGGGAAAATCCCAAACCCATGATTTCTACTGCGGTATTATCCGTAGCCTGGGGAGCCCCGGGGGGGGGGGGGTTGGAGGCCTCTTCCCCAGGGCCGCTTTCGGAAGGGTGGCAGGTCGAGGGCCGCGGAGGAGGAGGGAAGGCTTCCGGGAGGAGACCTGAGCAGCAGAGACTACAGGAGCCGGGCGTGGCTGCGTCTGTGGGGCCGGGCGTAGCCGCTGTCGCTCGAGCTGCCTTGCAAGCTGTCTTCTGCCTCGCTGGCGCTTCCGCTGCTGTCCATTTCGGCCGGGGTGAATTCCAGCCCCTCAATGTCCACCTCTGCATGGGAGGAGAAGAGAGGAGTCAACGCTTTATAAATAGGCAGCAAGCAGGACGGTGAGCCTCGACTTATGTCCTGAAGGGAGACGTTTGTGAGGTGAATTTTGACCCGTTTTACAACCTTTCTTGCCTGAATTGTTAAGTGAATCACTGCAGTTGATGTTAGCAATCTGGTTGTTAAGTGAATCCCCGTTGCCTCTGTCAGAAGGTGGGCAAAGGGGGACTTTGGGACACAGCAACAGTCGTAGATGTGAACCGGTGGCCAAGGCTCTGGGTTTTGATCACGTGGCCATGATGGGGATGCGGGGAAGGTCGTAAGTGTGAAAAACAATTGTAAGTCCCTTTTTTTGGTGCCATTATAACTCTGAATGGTCACTAAGTGAACTGCTGTAAGCCGAGGACTGCATGTGCTTAAAAGCTCGTCTCAGAGCTGAATCTCCCCAGCCTTATCCAATGCCACCCCTCCCCCCCCACTTCACTCTGTGGGGGTCCTAAGGAGAAACAAGGAGGCGGAGGGGACTTCCAGGAGGAGGAGGAGGAGGAGGAGGAGGGGTGGCGGCAGAGGCCAGCATTCTGCCAATACTTTCTGCAAAACCTCTACAAGGAGACGCAACTGATGTGAAAACTTGAAAGTCTTCCAGAATTATTCTCCTGGCCGCTTCCGACTGTACGTTTTTGACAGTTGCAAGCAACCTCTTAGATACACTCCACCGATTTCAGGGTTACCAAAT